CCAATAATGATAAGGTGGATTCATATATCAAAGGTAATATTGATTCTTATTAATTTGATATATAAATATAATCATCGATTCATTTAGCTAACTTCAGTAATTTTAAAAAAGATTATTGTCAACACTAGTTATATATTAAGGATGAACCCAAATGGAAAGGGGGGAGCATAGATGATGTTCATACAAAGAGAAGAAATATTGCATCGTCTCGTAGTTACACATCATCATTAGATGCACGAACAAGCATAAATGTTGAAGATGATGAAACTGACGTCCGTCCCAAGGAGACCAAAAGGGCAAAAAGGAAACAAAAAGAAACGGCAACTACCTCAAATGACAAAGTAAAAGGTATGCAAAATCTAATCATCAAAACTACCACTTTGCGGATATCTCGGACAGATGAAGTGAATGAAAACATCAAGGAGATGAGAGAATCATTTAACCGATCAAAGAGATTCGAAGAAATAAGAATCCTAACGTAAAGTACGGAAGGCATGATAAACGAACAACTAGTGTATCATAAAACGTTGTGTGATGAAACTACCCATGGTCTAATTTGTTAGGCATGATACACAAAGGGAAACTTGTCGATATTTCATGGTTGCAACAAATTAGACCATGGGTAGTATACCCTTTGCGTTTATGAAAACATGTATCTATTGCATTAAAGCAAAAAACATGTATCTATTGCATTAAAGCAAACTAAACTCGCTTATGTGATACATATAGATTATGTTCGGCACCTCGGGGTTGCATGGCTTTTGTTCCGCCCCCAGTACTTTGTAGGGGTGAGTTGAATGGTCCGTTGTCCGTTCTACGTTGTTACAATTTGCAGCTACTCTAGATAAAGAGAGAGGAGATGAAAGCCTCACAAAACAGTTGTAAATTATGTCAATCCTTGTCAGTACAAAACCAAGCATAAATAGCTGATACATCTTGTACATATATTTGTAGGCTGGAGCTCATCCATCCCCACAAAGAACCTGAACCATACTTACCCAAAAATGAAAAGAGAGAAGAAAACTACTGAGTTGGTGACATATCACCTATTTTCTTCAAGCTCAAAAAAGAACTACTAGTGACAGATGATGTACAAGTGGCTGTATGTAATGTGACAAAATCAAATGGATTCAACCACTTTATATCATGTGATATGCATTTATATATATATCTTCAAAGACCACTAAACCATCAGCCACCAAAATCATGCAAAAACTGCCCCCCCATAATTTCTCGTCCAACCTGCCGATTTTCTGCATCCAAACCACTGATAACAAATCTCTCGCGATTCAAGCGAAAGGGCTCAGACAATGTGATTGCATTGTTATCTTGATGGAGGCCTAGCGTCAAAGAAACCCCACGATTACCATTTGCACCATTGTTTGCACCGTGGATTGATAAATTGCCATAAAAGTTCATGTGCTCCTTATTTCTTTCCATGATATGATGATCACTATATCTATTTTCACTGGAGAAGTCATTTCTAGGGCGCTTCGAAGGAGGGTCTTGGTTCCTTCGATGAGATGGATCTCTGGATATAACTGGGGGAGTTTCTTGTTCCTGGATATGTGAGGAAACTTTGTGCACTTGGCGGGCTTCAAGTGTGTGTACTTCCTCTACCATAGGCTTCCAAAGTCTCACTCTTGCATTTATGAACCAGTTGGAAACCTGGCTGATGAACAAAGTAAGCATGGCATGTTTCCAATCTAATGATATACTAGGAAGAAAAAAAAAATCATGAAGTCGCAAATGCATATATAACTTTCTTATATACATACATATATATATATATATATGTATATATATATATATATATATATATACATACGGCAAATTAAAACTCACACACTTCTCACCTTCTGTGAGACTTGGAACCCTGACCTCCAAGGAGTGGGGTTACCTGGTACTGCCGGGAACAATTCCCCTTTGGTATTGCATATATAACATGGCATCTTGATTTATTGATGAATGCAGTTGACCGTCTGCTATTTAATTTCCAATTCTTTTAGCCATGGTCTAAAAGTTGAAACTAAAATAGAATGTAGTTCCTCAAACAGATGAAATTTCTAATGCTTGATTTGGTATATATATATTCCCCTGGTGAAGAAAGTGTGGAAACCATAATATTTTAGTACAAAAATATTACAAGCAGACAGGGAAGGCACACACCTGGTTCCGGGACAAACCCGTCTGTTTGGCTAATATTTGCTTGTCTGTGTCGGTTGGATAACTGTGCAAGTAAATTTAAGAAAAAAGGCTACATCAATATTGTAAATGTTGAGAAGCTAGAAGACGCTGCATATAAGTTATCACTCTCTACCTCTAATAAATTAAACAAGCTTTTCTCTTTGCAAATTAACAAAGGAAAACACACGCTCATTCTGGGCAGGGAAATTGAACCACAAGTTATTGACTGATGAAAGAATCAACTGCAACCATCACACGTCATGGTGTTATTGGCATGCACAGTACTAAATTTAAGAACTTCGATATATGCATTGGTGTCGTACTATACAACCAACCAATGATTTCCTTGCAATCTAGATGCATGTTTTGTAGTTCGTATCTTGGTTAACAATAAAATCACTCACGGGTGAAGAAAATGATCAAACAACCATGCTCTCAGAACAGTCACAGCTCGCTTCGGCAGACCCCTTTGGGGACGCCAAACAGGCTGATGGTCAACAAATCCCATGTTGTTGATTGCCTTTTGACCATAAAGTCCGTCGTTGGAACTTCCGGACCACATCAATTCTTCTCTGCGGTAGCTTATTTGATGCTCATGAGGTTTCACTGAGAATTGCAGCTGGTCAGTTATAGCATTATTTAGGCAACGGAAGTTCTTAGACATTGCTTTTAAGTCCAAGTTTGCAAATGGAGCTGCACTGCTAAGCCCAGAAACTGTTTCGAATGATGTTATAACTGCTTGGATCTGTTGGTAGTAATGTTTGTACCTCTTGTACACCTGCTCGAAATAAAAGTAGGTTTACTGTTATTGCATTCACAGTAGAACAAGCACATTATCTAGGCCCCAACAAAGCCAAGTATTGCTTTGAGTTTAAACCATCTAAACCCTACCTCATTATCTAATTATTACAGAGAAAACATATTTTCCATCAAAGAAAAAGCTGCTATATATGTATTCTTGTTGAAGTGGTCCTTAAAAAACCAGAACGGACTTCCTTTGCTCCACAATGAGAGAGATATTCTGACATCATAGTTGAATATCATATGATCCAAGTGATTTATCCAAAGAACTTTTGAGAACCATAAAAATCATAATTAATGGTGACCTTTGTAGCTACACCAAAGTGTTTTTGGCTACTTTGGCCGGTTAGAAACAGCAGTCTAAACAAAGACTGAGAAGCTCCGAATTTTTGAACTCAATTGTAACATGTTTCATATATAGATGTTTCTTGCTTTAGCACAAAATTTATTCTTAATTAGTTCTTCATATATCGTAATGTCACAGGATAGTATGTTCCTTGACACGTTGCTTTCATCAGGATGATAAGTCAAAGTAAATTGCTCTCACTAACGGTTGGGAAGAGGAGCACAAAAGATCTGCAATGGAAGAGACTGCTACTAGCAAGGGATTGACTTGTTCTTTTTTTCCTTCTTATTTCAGATAGTTATAATTAAGGTAACTTCTCTTTACAGCAGTCTTTATCTCCTCGATAGAGAATTCTACATCAAGATGTTCTACTTTCGTTAGCTAAAATAGGTCCTAAACATCTGAGAAAATAAAAAATGGCATAGTCTGTTCAATATATATTAGGCTTAGGCACTTGATATTATTTCTGTTTGATTGGACCTTGTTAGCTTCTATTCTGTCCAGGTAACATGTTTGTTTCACTTGATCGATATTTCATCCCTACATGCTGCTTTGTTCATTTGTGCCTGGTGAAATTGTGTTGGTGACCCTGAAACAATTGATTTCTCTCTTAATAAGTTTTGCTGATTTAGAATTCTGTCAACGAAGTGAGGACTGTAGGTGAAAAAGCCTGTGATGTGAAACAAAGAGAGAATAATATCAGTTATTGTTCATCTCCGTAAATCCATGTGAAGCTCACATCTAATATTGGAACATCTTCGCCTTGACAGGTTCTGATCATGTACCAAAAGATTTTCCTCCTGCTTATGATATTGACCATGACAAGTCTGTCATTTGGCCAAAATTGCCTCTCACATTATGTGTTTTGCCAATCATCATTGGCCATTATATCAACTCGATATCAGCAAATGTCTATAAATGGCACCATTGAGAAGGTTTTTACGGATTCCTGCTTCTGATGATGTTTATATGGACTTGTGGAATCTCAAAGTTGACTTCGTTTTCTTCTAAGCTCTTTGGCAGTTTGTGACATCAGCTATTATAATCTACACCAAGTAACTTAATCCTCTTGGTCTATGTAAATGACATCGTTCCCATAGGTGACGAAAATGAGTGTATCAAGGAATTTAAACATTATGAATCGTTTTGCAACCCACTAGACTTGTATATGCTACAATTTGAGAAACTTCCAACTCAAAGTGATCAACTTATACGTTATAATAAAAAGCATACACACTTGTGGAACATAAGTTACAAGATGATTACATATTTAAACATCTCTAACTCGGTGAATTAGTTGGTTAATTAGTTCATGTTCAATATCTAAAGGCATCTACAATAACGGGTACTCTACATCTTGAGTAAGGGCATTTTAGAGTACAGTCACAGAGAAAAGATGTCACTAAATTGTTGGCTATTCAATGCTAATCTAGCATGATGCCAAACTATGCAATGAACAAGAACTGGTTACTATGTTTTCGTTGGCCTAAAATATGGCATCTTGGAAGAGCAAGAGTCACCATATTGTTTCTCATTTTAGTGTCGGTCCAAGCACCAAGCAACGAAGCATGTCACATATGAGTATACCGCATCTATTTGATATTTGGGAATATTCCCAAGTTAACGAGGCTATATTGTGAACTACAAGGGCGGTGCCTGATTGGTTTAAGCTTGACTCCAAAGGTCAAAAGTACCAGGAGGTCTCAGGTTCAAATCCAAGGAAGAATAAAAATCCCCTTGTGGCCACGGAGGTTCAAATGCAGTGACTTCTGGCTATCTGCAAAGCAGGTGGTCGCCCTGGGATTAGTCGGCTCGCATAGCGGGTTAGATATCCAGGTTAATCAAAAGAAAACGAGGCTATATTATGATAATCAAGAAACTGCTTTGGTGTTTCCCCAATTGTCCCAAAAGTCGTAGTTCTCAAGTGGAATGACAAATACCTCAATAATCTCGGCCTTCATGGTCAACAAGGATTCATGCCTTCTTGAGATATTTATGATTAATTGATGCTTCTGCTTTTTATTTTAGGGATCCAAACAAAGCCAGTTGCAAGTCTCATTCATATTTTGCAAAGTAGCATTGCCTCTTGGCTCTCTTGCAATCAACTCATGCATTTATGAATATCACCTTTTCCATGTAGTATTGTAACAACCTAGTTTCTATATTTGTTAGATTTCAGCGTTTTATGTCTTAAATACAAGTACTATGATCAAATTAAGTGCACTAAAATGGCACCAGTAGCATTTATATTTAAAATCATCATATTTTAAAAGACAAGTAGCTTACAAAGCAAAGCATGAGAAATCATACCTAAATACTTGAGAAAGCAAGTCTAGTAAGCATGACAAAGCAAGCTAGTTATGAGTTGTTAAGGCTAGAAGTATGTGTTGGCAAAATTATTGATGACAAAGCAAATCTAGTAAGCATGACAAAGCAAGTTAGTTATGCGTTGTTAAGGTTAGAAGTAAGTGTTGGCAAACTATTGATGACAAAGCAAGCTAGTTATGAGCTGTTAAGGCTAGAAGTATTTGTTGGCAAAATTATTGATGACAAAGCAAGTCTAGTAAGCATGACAATTAAAAACTAGAAGCATGATGTGTCATGATTCTTTTTTCTTAAGCATGAGGTGTTTAACTCTCATAAGAGTACAGCCATGAAAGCAAGAAGAACGAGTAGTTTATGCATTGTAATCACCTATAAATAGTGGTTGAAAAGAAGCCATTATTTCCATACCAAGTAAGAAAACACTCTCAATACGATGCCAAGTTTGAAGTGAGGAGTCGAAAAAAAAAGTCAGGCGCAAAACAAGGTGAGTATGTTATGAGATTTTCTGAGATACATATATGCTACATAAATGTACTTTGTGCATTATAAAGAGTTGGATAAGATGTTTTGGCATGTTTGCTTTACATGAAATGAGGATATGTTTATACAGCCAAGAGATATGTATTTTAACGTAAAGCATGAAAGTTCTATGCATGTTATGTATGACCATATATATCCAACGTACGAGGTATATAATGTAGGGACGTCTTGCAAATGGACCTTATGGGCAACATTTATGGACTCCGGGGTTAGCAAACCTGATGCAGCGTATAACAATGAAACACAGATTACCACGTTAATTCTACGAATACCCTTGGATAACCTCTTCTTGGATTCATTGATTTGACGAATATTGAACATAGGCTTCAAATTCGAATTCACACGAATTCCAAAATTGGGAAGAAAATTCAAAATCTGTCAAATTCAAGCGTGACCTTCCAGAGGAAGCCCAAACTGAAATGGGCCTAAAAGGACTACGAGCCAAACATAAAAATCCCAACGGAAAATTCAAGAAACAATAAAAAAAACACGAAAAATGTCCAAAATCATGCGTAAACATCGTTTTTGGACATCAGTGTTATGAAAATTGTTTATTCATGAAACCATAACTACTCATTACAGCTTAAGTTTTCCATGTATGTATCTCATGGAGGGAGTAAAGAGGAATAACATGAAGTAGAACTACTCTAATCAATAGCAAAATCTGGTATTATAAGCTATTGAGTTATGTTTCCGTTGATGTTTCAACTCTGATATAATCATAAACTATGAAAGAAATAAAGTTAAATTTAGTTCAGCAAATAAGAGCGCCCATTTAGGATTGGGGCATTACAAGTAATTACTTGAATGTTATGAACGTAACGTAGAGAATATAGTTGTTTCACCTTTAGTTGTCTCCTCCCTGACTCCAACTACTAGATGTACTATTCTCAATTTTAACGGATGTTTCCACGCTTTATTACTGGCTAACAGCTTAGATGTACCATTCACGATTCCAAAAATTCGATTGGAAACCATTCTCATGCATGGTGTCAGGTTAGAACGAGTCTTCTCCAATAAAATTGACATTTTTCTTAGGAGCAATGGGCCTCACTCTAGACTTGTAAAGGCATTGTTTCTCTCACCTTCCGCCAACTTTTCTTTTAGCTTAATACCAAATTCACTTGCCATGGGTTAGGTTTATCTTAAACCAACTAACCAAGTGGTTGTTTTACACTGTTCCTGCTTTCCAAAATATGTCAAAGTAAATCGCCAGGATCAGGATATATATAGGGGTGGATACATACGAGAACAATAACCAAATAAGAGTAAAAGAAAACAGTCGAATCACATGTGATTCACGCGACTTTGGCCATTACCAAAGGTCGCGGGTCACGTCGCCCACACACCTTTACGTTGACCTTTAGTGTAAAATCACATGTGATTTTGCACATGATTTGGCCGTTTTCGTGTTCTTTTATTTAGCTATTGTTCTCGTTTGAACCTCCCTATATATATATATGTGTGTGTGTGTGTGTATTTCTAATAACGAGACTTACAGGTTTCTTTGATTAATCATTTCATTGAATGTTTTCTTAAAATTAAATGAGGGAGGTTTATGTCATCTAGGAATCTTCGCAACCCCAATAAAATTATCTGACTTAGTATGATTCCAAGTCATACTACAAAATTCATAAGAACCTAAAGAATGCTAACATCCTAAAACAATCTGGTGAAAGCCAAGATTGTTATGGAGCACGTTTCTTACCCTCTAACGTGAGCACTTGATGGCTATGCCATTGAAGTAGTTTCGGATATCATTTTACCATATCAGTGTGCGAACTTATCAACTTGTCATTAAGAAAACGACCAAAAATGAGTGTTATATAACGAGATATGGTGTGGTATAATATCCATCGTGTGCAAGGCACCAAAAGCGATCCGCTTGCTCTAGGCATCATACATTAGCCAGGTCTCAATAAGACATGTTACAAACAAGAAAGTTAAAAACACGCTCCCTGGCCTTTATTCCCTTTTAACTTTTTGTGCTTTTCAAACGATTCTTTCCAAGAACTCGAATAAAGGTTCTTTAGTGGTTTTACGGTATATATTCTCTTTCACTGCTAATCAAAAAGAAGACGATTCCATCGGTAAAAAGAAAACCAAAGACTATGTTATTTGCATTAACAAAAGATGAAACAAGTACCCTTTTTTCTAATGAGAAAGCATCTATTCCTTTCTAAAATAAGTCACCACTAAACAACAAACCCCAACTTGTACTTAATTCATTCAGCTGAGCTTATTCTTTCGGTACCCATCATTCATTTAATTGTACTAATTTAAGGTATCACTCGTATATCCAAACAAGGGTATCTCAAGTCTAGCATCTACATAAACTACACCTTGCTGCTAAGCTTAAAATCGAAGCAGAATGTGTTGTATAAGAAAAAAGTAGTTACTTAATTAAGTCATAATAAAGATTACAGCAGATAAAAGTTAAATAATAGCTGAATACAGTACCTCATCTAGCAACGAGATTAGCCTTGACCTTTTCCTGGTGTCTGAACCGCAATTGGGATGATCAACACTTGTCGTCGTCCTGAGGTTCTCCAATGAAGGAGGGTCCGTCATCAACCCACAATCAACGCCAAAACCCACGTCACAAATTTCATCCAACAGCTGTTGCGTCGGCTTCAAGAATTTGGAACCTTTCAAGATCGAAGCATAGCCTGTGTACGGACCAAGCGTCATCACCGCAGTCCGACAAAAATCTAAGCCAGTGGACTCATACTTTTGCAAAGGATGAGTTCCGTTGTGGGAAGAAAGAGATAAAGCCAGTGGCTCCGGTTTATACACGAGAAAATCTCCGGAGCCGTCGAACGGGTGATGTTGAATGAACCTGAGGTCTTGATGTGTGTAAAGAAAATTACAATGGTTGTTGTCTGGATCATTGACGGACTGCAGATCCAACGACTCGTCTATCATTGCTGTTGCATAATCACTGTTACTAGTAGCAGTAGCCATTAATGAGGAGGTGATGTTGCGTGGTTGCTTGGATAAGAGATTGGGAGAGGAAGAGATGAAGGACGATTGATCATATAAAGGGAGCAGATCTCCAACGCAACCAGTGGTTACAACCCTCAGCTTCTCCCTTCTGCTTTGTTGTGGTATGTGGTATGGTTCAAAACCCTCCGCCATAGACAAACAACGAACTCGAGAGAGAGATTATGAGAGATTATAACAGACACAGTGGGTTTGCGTTTGGGTTTGGGTTTGGGTTTGGGAGAAAGGAGGTGAGGAGTAGGTTAGCGAAACAGTCACCGACGGTAGCAGCTAGAATCTATTAACCTACGAGAGACTGCGTGTGGATGTGTGTTTTAGATACAGAAAAAAGTGTCATGTCATGTGTTGTTTTTCTCTCTGTGTGGGTCCTGGTCATCATTACATCCATTCTTATGATCACAAGATGATAAAACCGTGATTGATTTTTATAAATAAACCAGTAGTGTATCCGTGCATTGTGATGGTAGCCGTAAATTTTAACGATTTTGAAGTTTTATTAGTTTTGTTAGAGAAGATTTAACAATGATATAAGTTATATTTGGTCTTTACATATTAATACAATTTGAATAAATAAGAGTTATGGTTCCAATTATAGTCTATTGACGAAAAAAATTGTATAACAGTTTAAAATCCAATATATTTAAAATCCAACATATTTAAACGACTTCACAAATGTGTTCAATTTACACTAAGAACAAGACCGAGAGTTTTAAAGCAATTAAATGATAGATGAATGGGAGAACTTTTAATAACTCGTGATGAATATCAGTTTGAATCTCATTTCAGGGGATAGGGAGAAAACATAGAGGTATGAGAGGGTGAATGCATGAGTGAAATGTGACAAAAGTATCTTGGGAACATTAAAAGAAAAGATAATAATGTGCATTGGTAACTGATAACTCTCATTTTGTTAGAGTTATTTGTTGTCCAATACCCCTATTTTATTGTATCTTTGGTACCCATTTTGCTCCTATCCTATATTTTTTATCCAAATTATGTTAAGAGGTGATGAAAGGTTAAGAATTTAATTATTGTCTAAAAAACTCTTTATTGTTGGTAAATTTGGCATCTTGTTGGATTTGAACAAAATTATGATATTCATATTTTTGGATATTATTGAGATTTAATGCTAAGTTCAAATCTAAATACTTGGTTGCATGGAAGATTGGACCTAGTTATGGGATGATGAGACTTGGAATAGTTCTATTTGTACCATGATGGAATGGTTTTTCCATCACATTTATTGGTTGTATCTTCACCTTTTGCAACCTATCAAGAGGAGGTGACTTGGTCAGGATTGAAGAAGACATGTGGTGATGGGGGGTCATTATCAAATTAACAATGAGTACCCGGGTCCCACCATTTCCCCTATATATTTGAAGACTTCTCTCAAGCAAATCATCTAACTCAATTCAACTTTTCCACCAGCACCTTGGAGCATCCTCTTAAAGCTTTGTAGCATTAGAACTAGTTTATTTTCAGTTTGTAATTTAATTTTCGTAGTTCAGTTTTTATTCTCGCCACTGTATTGTGTGCCCTCTGTGGGCACCAGTAAGTATTTATTTTCAGTTCAAGTATTTCTTATGTAGCTTTCTTCTTCTATTTTTGTTATGTTTTCTAATTTCATTATGAACTAAGCACCCCCTTGG